GGATGGAAAAGAGAGTGAAATGTTCTAAAACTACTATGATTTTCTTTTTTTTTTCATTGCCTTACCCAAGTTAGAAGATGTGGTTCAATTGATCCCTCCCACCTGCTAATCTTTGAATTTTTGACATGAAACTGTTGGCTGTTGGTGGTGGCTTTGGAAGCATTGTGGGATTTTGAGGCAGTAGTGTCATTTTTTTCTCCAAGAAGAGTTTTTAACAACAGCTTCCAGCTTTTGGTTTTTTTGGTCAAGCTTATATGGCTTGGGAAGGGCAGTGCTTCTTCCTTTTATATGCTATTTTTCACAGGATTGCTGCTGATTTTGCCTCAAATGAGGATTATTCTCTCCCAGGCTACCATGCTCGCAGGAGGTTTATGTGTGTGGCTGGCAAAAGAGACAGGGGAAGTCACAGTTGCAGGGTGTGGGACAGAGGTAGGATAAATGTACCTGGATTCAGGTGGGTGCAGCCTTGGAGCATCAGCTGTGGTCAGGTGCAACGGTGAAGTGCAGGCAGCCTTGCCATTGTGTTATGCCCTGTCGTACGCCGATGGCTCCAGAAATTATGTTCTTCTAGCCCAGAACTGGTGAACTGTATTGATTTGTTTTTTCCTGCTGTTGCAGCTCGACACTTTGAACGCTCCACTATAAGAAGCAGATCTTTTAAAAAAATAAACAAGGCATTCAGTGTTCTTCGAAGGACAAAAAGTGGAAGCGCAGTCTCCAACCAGGCTGACCGGGAAAGGGAGACTGTTGGAAACTCTGCTGCTGGAGAGGAAGGTAATGCTTTGTTCTCCTTGTGTAATCACTTAAAATGGAGTGGGGGGGGGGGCACCCTGTCCATCTGGGAACTCAATGTCCTTGACTGACATGCGCTTCATGTGGTGGGCTGTATGTGATTTTAAAAAAAACGGAAAACCAAATATTTCCTTATTTTCTTAAAAAGTTGGGGGGGGGGGGCACCCTGTCCATCTGGGAACTCATGTCCTTGACTGACATGCGCTTCATGTGGTGGGCTGTATGTGATTTTAAAAAAAACGGAAAACCAAATATTTCCTTATTTTCTTAAAAAGTTGTTAGTGACTGGCAGGCAAGAATATTGCTGGGGTGTGTGGGACCTCACGTAGGACTGTTCTGGTAACAGCCTGCGTGCTACAGCCAGCCCAGTATCTCGCACGCAGGATGTGGGATCTGGGCATCTGGGATCTATTACTGGAGCTGTCATTGATTTGATCTATCATTTTGTTGAAGAGGCTTCACCAGCATGTGTCTGACCCCCTAAAGCAAATGGATCACAGTGATCATACATTATAAGAAATTCATCAGTTTTGGCTAATGTTTATGAAGCATGGGGAATTCCCAGTGAGAGGATGGTATGAAATTGCAAAGCACTGTAATTATTCCAGCACTTCTGTGGGATCCTCGTTGACGGACATGTATTACCTCAGCCAGGCAGGTGATGGGGTACAAATGCTGTGCTCTTAACCAGGGGGGAGAAGCACGTCTTTCTGACTTCGTCAAGGATGAGGGGTCTGGCAGGCAGTAACAGTTAACATTTGGCATTCTCAAAGCAATAAGAAAATGTTACTAATTGCTTTGGACTGTATTTATGAAGCCAACATTAGCACTCATGCATCAAGAAGAAGTGATGATAGAGTTGGAATCATCATCTTAATCAAGGTCTTCAGTGATCTTATTATTCCTTTGCTTGAAGCCTCAGCACCCCACTTCTCTTCCCAGATCAAATGTCCAGGGTGAGGGCTTTAAAAAGACAAAATATCCAAATTCCCTTTTCTCTGTATTTCAAGGTCTCATTGAAACCCCCACAAAATAAAGACAGAAGGCTGCCAAATGTCGCGTTTAGGCATCATTAGTCTTGAAGTGGTGAATCAGAGAACAGTGTTCAATATTTCTTCTGCTTTATTTGCTTATTCCTTCAGGAGAGTTTCACTATATTACTGTGTTCCTGGTACTTAGACTCCTAGTCCACGTACTTGCTGATGTAGCCAAAATAAAACCTGATTATTCAAAATTGTGAACCTTTTCCATAAAAATAATGTGAATCTGCTACTTGGCCTGGAAACATCATAAATAACTTTAGTGTCCCAAACATTTTTTTTTTCTCCCCAAGTAAAATTTTGCAAATAATTTGTCTACAGCTCTCTCTGAGCAGACAGATATGTTTCTCATTCCCTAGAAACTGTTCAGCCCATTGTAAGCAAAAGTTTGCTCTTCTTCAGCTGGAATGAAATTCTGAATGTCTCAAGTTCATGCTTTTCAAAAGACGTCCCTTTGGGATGGGACATAGACATTTTTATGACCGCTTTCTTCCTAGGCTTATAGTTGACATTATTATTTTTCCACTGAAAGTGTGGTTCCACGTCCAGAGTTTGTGAGGATGATCTGGGTGCCAACAGGACCTATCCAGTAACCCAGCGCAGGCCAAATGGTAACAGCAGGAGGTGTGGAGATGACACTGGCCTTTACATTTCCAACAGAATGAAGAGCGCTGTTGTCTCTTTTTTAAGGGACATATTAATGGGGCCCTGAAGTGATTGCCACTTGATGGTCCCACTCACAGTGTCAAGATTGTCATTCTGTCACTGCCTCTGCTTGTGGTTTCATTCCTCTGCACCAAGCCTTCCTGTAAATTTCCAAGTATTCTACTGCACTGGAAAAACCAGGTAGGCATGTAATGATGTAATGAGCAGTTACTCTTACGCATAAGACCACAGAAGCTGGGTACCTAAATTACTCTATTAATTACATATGCAAAGAGTGCCTCTTGATTACATCGTTCAGGAATTTGGTCTTTAAAAAAATGCAAGCAAGTAACTTGCAGCGATACAAATACAACAAGGATCCCTACTCAGTCCTTTGCAACAGGTGCTTTGTGTAATGGCATCTCAAAGACTCTCTCTGTTTCCTCGTGTTGGAGGAGCAAATGAATAAACTTTCTGTAGCAGTTATCATCATCCTGCCAGCTGGAGGCTTGTTTTCTTCTTTTATTTATTTTTTCAAATGCTCAGCTGCTCTGAGCAGTCTGCAGTTGGACTCCTGGTTAACGTTGCCGGTCAGTCTCTAGGGTTAGCTGCAATATGCTCTGCCCTGTGCTTGCTAAATGTCCAGCCCAAACCTGTTGGAAAAAAGTAGCCCCACATGTTTCTCCCCACTGCCACTCTTCTCTCCTGGGAATGGAGATGCTCCTGTGGGTGGTGGTTCCTGGCCTCAGAAGTCCCCACACCCAGCATGAGAGCACTGATTCCTGCTTCTGCCTTGCCCCAAGTTTCACAGGTTCATGCCTGGGACCACCTGAGAGCACATTTTATCCATGCCTCATTGCTCTAGGAGATCAGACGGCGTCTCACCACCGCTCTGGTGGCTCCTTTCCTCACCAGGTTTAGTCAGTGCATGAGCAGAATAAAGCTGAGGACTTCCCAGCCTTACAGTGGGCACAGAGTGAAATAACCCCTTCTTGCCTCTAACCTCTTGTTGATAAGGGAACTGTCAGATCATCTGGCAAACCTCATTACCGTCCATCTGTCACAGTTTTCAGAATTTCCTCATTTTAGTTCAGACATCTCTGTTTAATCTGTGTTTTGCCTATGTTTTGGTCAAAGGAGCTCTGAGAACGAAACCCATAGTGCACACCTATGTATTGGCCCTCAGCATAAGCAGCACTGATGTCAAGTTAACTATTTGCCCACTGCAAAGTGTGGAGGTGCCTTTAATCTGAAGCTGATATGTCTGTTGGGCTAACGCTCTATTTCAAAAAGATTATGAAGGTGCAAGACAAAATACTCATTCCTGATGTGGGAGAAAAAAATATTCAAATAATCATGATTCTGCTTAGTTTGAAGCTGCATGCAGTACTGGTTTTGGAAAACTCCTTTGCTACTCAGGGACACTGAAAAATATGATGTATAATGGCAAATGCGTTTCTGTTATAATTACAGCAGAGAAATAGTTACAGTCTAATGCTATCTTATACCTGGAGCTGGCAGCAGTCCTGCACTCTGAAGATTACTTCATGATTTCCATTGGCAACCTGGGGTTTGATTTGTTTAAACAATGTCATATGTGCCCACTTTGGATTTAAATGATTCAGGTTTTCTTTGTTTCTCTGTCTAAACACTTTGGTGACATTTTCAGCACAGAACTCTTCATTGCCCAAACTGAAAAAAATGTTAGAGGAGAATGAAGAGTGCAAACACTGATGAGAAAATGTTTGGGGGAAAGAGGCATTAAGATTTTTTTTGTTTTAAATAATTTGGTCATTTGTAAATAACCTATACAAAGAAGTATTTGTCTGTAGTGAAGCACCCAAGCTTGTGATATCTACCTGAGAGCAATCTCATTAATGGCACTTACAGCTACAAATATCTTTCCAGGTCTGAAGTAGAAGTCAGGAAATTGTAAAAAAGATGGTTTCATTCTGAGACATGAGGGAAGGTGACAGGGACATCCTTCCGGCACTGATGCATTTAACATGTAATATCTTCTGACTGGATCTACTAGTGTAAATGACCTTGACAATCTACTTAAATGACAAAATATCTCCGAGCAAAGACTGCTCCAGCTTTGCTATGCTTATTTGTATCACTGTGCTCTTAGTCTGGCATCACACTCTTTAAATTCACTTCCAAGAAAGACTATATATATATACTCTTTACTCAAACTGAACTACAAATACAGGTCATAAACCTGCTAACGCTTTAGGAGGAAAGAACCTGGGGATGCAACTGCAAAAACCTCTATACAGTTTTACAGTAAAAGGGACCCATGCTGCTGGTTTTCAAAAATGTTCATCAGTTCCATTTTGCAGTCAAGCCATTGTAAAATAAATTGAATTGCTTGAGGATGTCAAATGTTTGGTTCAAATTCAAACTCATTCTTCTCAGTCTCATGGTGGGTGCAGTTCTACCATCTGTTATTGCTTTGCAGCAGTCAAGACCAAGGCAGCCCTGGCAGGCACTGGCAGGACCACAGAACAGACCCTCCTGTTGTATGGGTGTATCTCACTCCTACTGTTCAGCCTGAGCCTTGTTGTTTTATAAATATATATATGTGTATGTATGTATGTATGTATATACGTATTTATAAAATAGATAGATATTATAAAAACTTTCATGTTTGGGAAAGATACATGAAGAAAAAGAAGGTAAGTGAAACACGGACGGCTCTAGGTATCAAGCAGTTTGTGGCATTAAGGCTCTCTATGTGCAGAAAAGAGAGCGGCTGGTCCAGCCCCAGGACAAGGCAGTGCAGCCCACCTTCTTTCTCAGGAAGGCAGCACCCTGCAGGAATCCCACGCTGTTGCTGTTTTCCCCGGGTTTGATTCAGTTGCAGTTCCGATTTCCCAAAACAGCTGTTGGAAGTCTTACAGAACTGGTTCAAAGCACTCTGCTCTAGGACGATGAGCCAGGCAATTTCCAGAAGAAAGAGGTTGGCTCTGTAGCATTTCCTCCACTGCAGACCGATGAACTTTGCCTGCTGTAGATGAGATAGCCATGAGTCTTCTGAGACACATTCAACTCTACAGCAGTTTTGTTTTAGTTCTTTTGGTACACCTTTGGTGAGAAGAATGTCCAAAGCAAGAAGAGACATTAGAGCTGGTGTTGCCTTCTACCTGCCCCCTGCATCGGACCAGCATCCCTGGAGTATTAATGGAAGTCATTAAATCAAAATGATGGCAAACCACTAGGTGAATGAATTGCTAAATGAAAATCATTTGGGAAGGAAGAGTTGCAGAAAAAAGTCCCACACTAGCACAAGTGCACGTGTGATTCACAGACACAAGAATTTTCCAAGAACAGGTTACACGATCTTCATCTAAATTCTGGTGACCAGGAGCCGGGAAGCATGAGTGGGTGTCCCTGCAGGTAGCCTTATTTGTGGGAATGGGCTGGCACCTCACATCCCTCAGCCCTTCTGATCTCAATAAGGACTCGCAATCTGAGACACAAGTTCTGTTTACAGTGATCTTCGATTAATCTGGACTCAAAAGTCACAGCAAACATTACACAGGGCTTTGTCACACTGGATAATGGGAGTGAAGGCAGAAGTTATCCTGATGGCAGCACTGTCAGAAGGAACACGGTGCACACAGAAGTCAGCCGAAACCTAACCACTGAAGGAACACTACCACTAAGAAACTGTGGGGATAAAATATTAAGTGTACTTAAAATTTTGCATTGCACTCTCATGAGCACTATAGTAATGAGTGCTTGGTGTCCTACATCGTACCAGATAAGCGGAGTGTACTGTGTAAAGCTGGCTCTCCTGTTATCTGTTACTGTAATGGGATGTGTGAAAATATCAATAAAATTGCACACCAATATAAGGAAAATATTGCTTGAGGAAAAAGCACAAACAATCTTTCTGAATGCAGATGACATTTTATTATATTGACAGATTCAGAATGCTCCATACAAGTCCCGGTGACAAAAACACAACACTCTGTGGGAACACCTGCAAGAATCACCAAAAACAAGACAGAAACTTTACTTCTTTCTAGATTCAGCAGCTCTTCGATATTTAAGGACTGGAAATATAAAATGGTAAAGAAAGGTATGCAACACTCCTGGGTTTTCCTGCTCTGGAAAACCTGGTCAAAGAGAACAGAGAATTCTAATTAAGAGTGTAAGGGCTGGAAAATGGGGTCTGTACAAACTGATGTTCCAGCCTCACAACAGGCAATGTATATGTGAATGGTACAAGCCCTCAAGCCAGTTGGAGTCCCTTAAACTGGGCTGCCGAGGGCTCATTCACTGTATGCAACCAGGTGCTGGAGCAGGGTCCACCTCTCCTGGGTATGGTATATACATCAGAAAATTCAAGTTGAAGACATTGTTTTCCAATGATGGCAGATGATGGCATCATCTTCAAATAGGCATGATGGGTTTTGATAAACCATAGACGATGTATGCAGACTGTTTAGTGAAAAAGTGGTTGTGAATTTTCTTATTCAAAAATATATGTATTTGCATACTTTATAAATTTAGATTGTCAAACTTACTGTTAGATTATCAAAATAGGCATTGGCCTTTCACTTATGACAGTCTAGGTTGTTGGTAATATAAATGTCCATGTATATGTCTGGGATGAAAACAAGAGGCAAGTCTTCAATGAAGAGAAATTAAGGGATCATGGAGTTATTTTGGTTGCTTGGCACATCTGAGGAGAAAATGGTGCAATTTATTAATTATATTCAATAAAGAACACAAATCAAATGAAGACAGGACATGAGGCAGTTCATCCTGCTAACTATGAAAAGAGAAACCTTAGTGACTTGCAAGAAAAATGTCTTGGGAAGATTTGTTTTATTGCAGACTCCACACTTCAGAAGGAAATTAGGTATTAAAAGTTCCTCTAAAAGAATCTGCATAAAGTTATATTGAAAGCCAGCCAAGTGCCACTGCAAGACATAATAAACCAGTCAAGGCATTATTCAACATGCCAAGAAACTTATTTAAGTTTATAGCTCATGTAAAGATATATGTAAGTCTTACACAAGTGTAGAGACTTGTTCACTGCCACATTGCTCTGATTTTGCTCTGGGATAATTACAGACTGAAATAACAAGAAAGAATCCATAGCTTGTTCAGTCCACAGGTCTCCATGGTCAAGAAATGTAACTGGGTAATTCCTTTAGAAAAGCTTGGTAGGACATGAAGGAAATCATCCTGGAATGGGAAGTGGAAGTAGTTCTGATGTAGGACTGCCTCGGTAGCCTGCAAAATATACAGACACATTTATTTATGCTATTTCCATGCCGAGAAGATCTGGGGATCCAGATTATCATTTGTATTCTTATGTATAAATAACCTTGTAGCCACAATGAGAGTGTAAAATGTGCATGCTTATTCTGATGCAGGGATCAGGCCTTTGGTGATTTTTGAGGACTATTTGTATCATCTGACTTTAGGAACCCCACCGAGATGCCAGAGTTAATTGCCTCTTTCTTCTTACATAGTTGTGGAGAGAGTTTAAGACCTCATGGGGTGATTTAGCGGTGAAGTGGGGCTCCCTTTGGGTGCCCATGCACTGTAAAGGAAGCCAGAGCAAGCAGATCACCAAATTATGCATTTGGCTTAGAGACCTGGATTTAGACGGAGTGAATCCACCCTTGAGGCTAGAGAGAAGCAAACAAGTTACAAGCTGAGCAAATAATGTTCATAAAATATGAGAGTATGGGGAAAATAAAGCATCTTCCATTCCTGAGACAGTGAAGTTGTGTGCAAAACTGAAGTAAACCCGTATTAGCACCGAAACTGCTACTACGGGAGTATAAACTTAGTGAGTACTTGGATATTAGGTTGCTGAAGGTTGTATAGTTATCTAGATAGACTTTTATTGCCTGTCAACTCTGTGTAAAACCACAGTCGAAGTCTGTGCTACCGGTAGGTGCTTTTTACAGACGTGGAGGAAGACAGCTTCCCGCCCCCGGAGAGCATATGATCAAAGAAGTGGTAAGGGATGCAACATGGTGTTTCTTAATATTTTTTTCCTGTTCTTTCTTTCCCCTTGCTCTCTCCCAAAAGGTTTTGGTGCCTTGCTGGTTTGTTGCCTGCTAATTCTCTAGTAGAAAATATTTATTCTGTCTCAGATACTGCTCTGTTCATTTTCACTTAACACTTCACTGCTATTCAGTAACAGTCACTGTACTTTCATTTCTAATGTAGGTTATTGAAAAAATATTAGCACTTAATTTTTCAACTTACAGGTTTTCATAAAAGCGCTGGATTGGGGATACACACACACAAAATTCAAAAGCTTTCGCTCACCGATGGGGGAAGGCTGATACACCTATGCTAGAAAACTCATTGGTGCTTTTACTTCATCTTTGCTCACTGTTGAATGTGGATTAAAGTTTCGAATTGACGTAGAAGGAAAGGAAGAATTGGTGACATGCTGTGAAAGCAAACACTGCCACTTGAAAAGTAGGGTTTGGAAGAGGATACTCTTATCCAGTGCATTATAAATACAAAAAGGACCCCTGCCCACCATTGGGCACTCTTCCCCACACCCAGGTTGCCAGGGCCAGCAAAGATCTTTCCCTGGAAGGCACCGTGAGCGTACTGTGGGTTTAATACAGGCACGTCGCAGTAAGGGCTAGTCATTCCTACTTCCTAGCATTCAAGCAGTAATGAAAGGAGAGGAGTCTGCTAGGGAAAGTACCGTTTGCTTTGGGTTGCCCGAGAAACCTTGTCTTTCTCATAGCTGAAGGTAAAAGAGTGCTTCCTTGAATGTCACAAGCCAAGCACCCAGTCCTCAGCTGTGGCACCGAAAATGGAGGAAAACAGGGCAGTCACTGCTCAGGCCAACCTGGGAAGCTACCAGTGAGACAGGTGGGCAGTCCACCACAGTGGGGATGGAGATTTGTCGAGGTGTCCGTGCCCATCTGATCTAGGGCCAGCAAGGAACCGTGGCCTGGTTCAGAGGGATCTCTGGTGACTAAAAATGTATTTTGTTCCCCTAAGATATCAACACAATGTAATTGGGCTTTTTTTTTATTAAGTACATTTCATCCGTCTGGATTACATCAAAGGTTTGGGGCTGTGTTTTGTGGGGAAAAAAGGAAGCTTGAATGTATTAATTAAAAAAGGATCCCTTCAAGTCCACTCAGCAAACATATGTATCCTTTCCTTCCCACTTAGTATAAGTCACATCCATGCATAAAACCTGGTTTGGATAACTGGCAGGTACTTGAAGTTGTGCAGTACGTGTTTTAACAAAGCGAAGCTGTGATGTCAAATAAATACCTTACAATGTGCATTTCCAGGTTTTCCCAGACTGTATCACCTGATTCCAGATGGGGAAATTACCTGCATTAAGATCAACCGTACAGATCCCCATGAAAACCTGGCCATTAGGATTGTGGGAGGCAGTGAGACTCCTTTGGTTCACATTATTATACAGCACATTTATCGAGATGGGGTAATTGCCAGAGATGGAAGATTGCTGCCTGGAGACATGATACTAAAGGTACAGTACTGTGGAGGTACAAGATAAAAATATCCTAACAAGGAGTAAGATGATGTAAGTTGATCAGGAGACGAGATTTGCAATGTTGCTTGTTTGGGTGGGTAGAATAATGCATGCAGAAAGATGTTTGGTTCCTCTGCATTCTGTGACCATTTAATTCATTTCAACTGTTTTCGAGGCTCACAGATGTATTTATTTTTCCTATTCACTATCAGGCCTCTCTGATTTCTACCCAAACACAGTAGATCCAAAATGCAATGTAATGCAACATTCTGATGGCATGTCTGACCAAGTGGTGCAAAAGGTTGTTTCTGAAAGCTGAGGCTGGGCTTTTTGCCCAGTTTGTTTCTACTGAACTGAGGGCTTAAATCTCAGTTAGTGAGGTTTCCATTGCCTCACATCTCACTTACACCAGGGGCCTGATCAGGGTTAAGTAATTTCAGCAACTAGCCCCTCTGTATGATGTGTTCAGCACTGCAGAGCGTGAGACGCTGCCCGCTCTATTTTGGGAGTGTTGCTCCACCAGCAGCCACAGGTGAAATCTCTAAGAACAAATTTGAGCAGCGTTCAGTCATTAACTGTTGGCTGCTACTTCTGCTCCTGTTTCTATAGAAATGCACAACAGATGAACAAGAATTAGGCCAGATGCTTAAAGATCGTGTATCTTGTGAGCCGCGGCTTCAACAATAGCTTTTGAATGGGAACTGCACTCTCAGCTGCCCCAGAGACTTGGAGCTCTGCAAGGATGCTAAATTATATTAATGCTTCAATCCTTAGAAGAAAAGAGCGATGACAGAAAATACTAGTTCCTTTCCTTGCTCTGATGCTTTGATGGTGTCTAGTTGGTGTCCATGGCTATATTCACATTGCAAGCCAAAGGTACAGCTGTAACTCACCCAGGTATACCCAAAGCAGCCTAAATCAGCTAGTTCAAATATTGGTGAAAGTGTGGCCAGAGATGTCAAAGAACTCAGCATAGGTTTTCCAAATTACAGGTAAACATTTGAGCAGGCTGCTTTGTTCACTGTGGGCCATGCTGCCATGGGTAGACTGATGCTGGTACCCAGGCTAATCAGTGTGGCATTAGCTGGGATAAGGTTACAAGAGCTGGAAGTGGGGTGGACTGCAAGGTCTGGCATGCATATCTCGGGTGGGAGTCTGAGTGCCCATCTTACTGCCTGCTCTGGCATGCCTGGCTGGTAGGGTTAGTGAGTAGTTCTCCCAGCCCTACTGACTTCTACTACATATTCCATGTGGGTAATTATTAAGGAGACCGTCTTCTGAATTTCAGAGCACCACCTGTAAGCCACCATGCTTGCCTAGCTTTTGCTGACCCCAGAGGTAGCTGAGGACACCTGAGGTATGCCAGGGCTATGACATGCCTTTGGCTTCACGTCTGACAGAGAGTGGCCAAAGGGATTTCTCAGGATCGTGATGTGGGCCTACTTCGCTCTGGCACTGTTTAAGCATGCCTCTGGATTGTGGTTCCAGGTGGCAGCTGGACAAGCATCACCTGCTCATGTGTATTGGGGTGGCTTTTTTTTGTCCTGGTGCCAGCACAGAATGGCAGAGTTAATGGCACCACTGAGCCAAAACTCTTCCTGCAGGGCACATCCAAGCTGCAGTGGGAAGCTGTGATTGCAACACAGATAGGCCAGGCTCCGCAATGCCTGGCCATGGCTGACTTCCTGGGGATTTACTGAGGATTCCCAGCAATTTCAGCCCCATGCTGGTGCAGCTCATGCCATTCGTGTTACCCAAGTTGGCAACTTAAAGTTCATTAAGCGGTGTCTCTAGGGGTGCAGTCCTCCCATCAAGACTGCAGTGGAGACAGCCCCGTCGTGCCCACACAGGCAGTCTGCAAAAACAAACGTCAGTCAAATGTTTTTGTCCATGCTGGGGAACGTTTCTGTTGCAGTTTGGAGATGTTTCTTAATATTTAAATGGTTCAACCTGTGCAATGTAAAACTACATGGAAATAACTTGTCTGATTCAGGTTTTCCAGCCAGCGACGAATTACAACCTTGCAAATGGTTTTCATTTAGCAGTGATAAAGTGCAATGCCTAGTCACCCTTACAGACACGGACATGACAGGATTGACTGGAAGCTCTTTTTTTTTTCTCTTTCTTTTCCCCAGCCAAATTAAAGAAGTGGCAGTTTTACTGCCATCTGCGCTAAACCTTACCCAGAAAACACTGAGAAATGTAAAAAGCCTGATTCTCTGGTGTGGTATATCAGCGTAATTTCTAGTAAATATCCAGGGCATTTAGATTTCTACTTGAGGGTCTTGTCTTCATTTTAATTAGAGATTCATTAGTGGGAAACATTCTTTTTTACTGTACCTTGAACAGCTGGCAGATAACAAAGAAGAGAAATAGCGGGGAAGTGGTGGGAGTGAAAGGAAAGGATGGCAAGGCGATTTGAAATCAGAAGCCAGTGAAATAAAACTAAGATATATGAAAGGATATTGGAGCTTGGGAGAGAGCAATAATAAAGCTGAAAAATAACATGTATGCCTGGAGACTATCAGGGAGAAAGGGGAAAAAGAAGGCAGAAAGTCTGTACAACGCGTCCTTTCCTTGGGGGGAAGACTGTTCTGCACCGCAAACTTGGCCTCCTGTGTGACACAGTTTGAAATAGCAAACGTCACTTCGTATGAAGACATCTGTGTAAACAGATCTGCCCTCTCCAGTGCCAATTCATATTAGACGGTCTTTCTGCTGCTGATTTATGCTTCTCTCTTCCAGGTGAATGGCATGGACATCAAAAATGTGCCTCACAACTATGCCCTATCAATCCTGAAGCAACCCTGCCATGTGCTCCGACTGACAGTGCTCCGAGAGCAGAGGTACCGATGCCGAAACAGTGGACTTTCCCTTGATGCTCACTGCAACAGGGATGACAGTTTCCATGTTGTGCTAAACAAAAGCAGTCCGGATGAGCAGCTGGGGATAAAGCTGGTCCGCAAGGCCGATGAACCAGGGGTATTTATTTTCAACTTGCTGGAAGGCGGCATGGCTGCCCGTGATGGACAGCTTCAGGAGAACGATCGGGTGTTGGCCATCAACGGGCATGACCATCGGTACGGCAGCCCAGAGAGTGCAGCCCAGCTGATACAGGTTGGTCACCACCACTTTAACCCTGATTTTGGAACTTTGCAGAAACCAAGCAGTGTATTTTCACCGCCCATTGCAAAGCAGGGGCCAAACTTAATGCATGTGTATTTGGGGGAGGGATGGAGACATGTCAAACTTGGATGGGAATTTACACCCATAAAAGCTCCTTGGTTTCAGTGTGGGTACAAGGGTGAATATGGGCATGGACCCTCGCAGTGATGCCTGTTACCATCAGGCTTCGTAATCTACAGATCAATGTAAACAATCCATATACTCTGTGCATCACCAAAGAGTGATGCTATCTGCCAAAAGGCAGACCAGCCTCCAACCTGGGAGCACTGGGTCCAGCCAGGTCCTTCCTTCTCAGAAGGAACCGCAGCACTCCTTGGTGCAGGCCTGGAGCAAACCAGAGCAGCCTAAGGCAATGGACGGCATGTTTCAGGATGAACATCATCCTTCCAGACTCAGTGATTTCCCATGGGTGTGTTTTACAACTGAAGGTACTCCATACCTTGTAGGTATTCCTTACCTAAATCCAGCATATGGAAATCCAGATGTTTTGGAAAAAAAAAAAAAAATGGATCCATAGCTGTAGTTTTTATAAATCTCTATTTAGACTCACGTGGAGACTAAAGGGGTGCCTCCGCAATGCCCTGAACAGTCTCACCGCAAAACTGTCAGAAAAAAAGACTTGTGCCTTTCTCAGCTGCAAAATCAGTCAGCTTCTGCCTCATTTCCCCTCCAGAACCATTTTCATTTGTTTTTTTTCTCTACAGCCTACATTTTTAGAAAACTTCAATGTAAAAAGCAAAGCCAAGAATCTTTTGTTGCTTTTATCTCATATTTATAGCAGTTATTATTCTTGTGCAATTTTACATGTCATTTGGAGGCATGCAGAGTGCTCACATATTGACAGATTTCATGTGCCTCAACAAGAAGATATCAAATCAGGCTGGCTCCTTCCCCTTTCTGACAGGTTTAATCAGGGTAACATGAGTCGGCCTGAAAGAAGCATTTGAATCCATGCATTTTGTGGGAAGGATTCCTCCCTTAGCACAGGTTCACAGTTGGCTGTAGCCAAGTTTTATTGAGAAGCTTGTAGCATAGGTAAAGAAAACAGCATCCCCTTGCATAACGCCAGTTGTTGAAATTCTGGTCCAGCATCTTTCTGGATTACTTTATGTAGCTCACTAACTGGGAGCAGAAGGCAGCAGGGGGGGGAGGTTTAAATTCTCCAAGGGGAACAAGTCTGGAATGAAAACCTTTCTAAAAAATTGGTATTCTTGGAACAGTTTTTTATGGCTACAAAACAAGGCAACAGTGCTTCATAAGCAAAAAACACATGCAGCCTAGAGATGAAATGGAAAAAATGACTAATGAAACCATTCACACACAAGTGTTTAAAAACGCAACTAAAGCTCTTATTGGGTTCCAAAGAATGGATGTTATTTATAATAATGCTTGAAAGGCACACCAGTCCCTGGGAATTTAAACAACATGCCCATCAAAGGGGAGACTCAGGTTTCCAAACAGCCCGAATTACATTGCATTGATGTGAGCTCTATGAATCACATTTGTCTAATGCAAAATTCCCCAAACCTGTGTCTTTTTTGTCATGTTTTTTCATCAATTATCATGTGCCTTTCCTGTTTCCATGTTATGCCGGAGAGAAAAACCATTATTCTGAAGCCACAAGTGGTTTGCATTTGCTTCTTACACGAAGAGATGTTTTACTGTGTCCTCTGATTTCTCAATGCTATCCTTTCTGTTGAGACCTCAGCGTGTGTCACTCACAGTACGCTGAAGTCTTCCAATTAGTGGTGGTGGACGCTTCAAATATGCCATCAGTTTCTTTGAAAACAGAACTAACATTCGCTAAAAGGTGGTGGTGGCTTGTTAGGCCAAGCGCAACTGGGAGGACATCAGATTTCTGTGGAATCCGATCAGTTTTGACTTCTAAATAATGAATAATTGAGACAAATCTGATTCTTCAGGCCTTAAGCAATTATACATTAGCATATGTGAAGCAGTTGTCAATCGGTGGATTAGGTGTCCTCCTGTTTGTAAGTTCAGTCACAAGAACTGAAATGAAGAAAAGTGCTAATTAGGAACGTGCACACATCGTAACATTTGGGAGCTTGCTGCTTCCCATTTGTCGCGTCATCTTTAGCCTTGTGTCAGATGTGGCACTTTTAATCTAAGTAACGTGACATTCCACATCTGTTTTCCATGGGAGTGACAAGAAAAGGAACAAGGTAACAGATCAGTGGGCGCTCGTGTGAGCACATCAAGCCGAGCTGCATGGGTTCAGCCAGACTTTACTGCCCCCAGATGTTTGCCCTCCTCTCTCCCTCTTTCCCCCGCCGCAGTTCGGAGCAGCTGCGACGGCCGCACGACCCCCTCTCCGTCACAACAACCGCTGCCGGCAGAAAGCAGGTCGTGAGGTGGAGCACATCCACGCTCCATCTTCCCCGTGAGAGATGGGAGCAGCACTGCTGCCTTTTTTTTTAAGATGCAGCGCCTCTTAGATGCTCAGAAGCTGCCACCGTGTCTCTGCCTCCCTGCTTGATTTGCTTTGGCTGTAAAGCAAATTTTAATTCTAGTAGATTATTTCAACCACTACTTGCATTCAGTCTCAAAGCTAACTTCATTTCTTTAATGCTTGCTTCGGCATAAAAAACAGAGAAGGAATTGCGGGAAAAACAAGTGGTAAGGGGGAAGAAGGAAGGGATCAGAATGAAGCAGTAATTAATATTCTGATCAGTTATATGTTAATGGGTTTTTATATGGAAGTATGTAAATACAAAAGCTGGTCTTGTTGTTTGGATAACTTTTTAAAACACTCTGGACTTCTGAGAAATTACTCAACTTGACTGACCTGGAGACAAATGTGACATTGCAATAGAGACGCTTGTTGAACTCTTGTTAGTCATTCTACGAGAATTAATCACATTTACAACCTTCCTCTAAATAACCAACTTTGAGACTAACCATGTGGCAGCAGATGAGTTTTAAACAGAAGTTGCATAAGTTGAAGTTGTTTGTTTTAGAGAAAACTGGATTTTCATGGGGCCATACGCCCTTAGGAGGTTTAGTCTTGTATTGTTCAGTTCCATTGCATTCATATTACAAACTAGGGACCAGGGGGGTGGGGGGTCCCTTCTCCCAAGATACAGCATTCTGCTTTTGGGTACCAGCTGAGTCCAGAACCCAGGAATTAATATTCCATAAAAACAGACCTGGTAAAAACACCTAGAAAGTTATCCTAAAATATGCATGTATGTACCAAATGATATATTATGAAGCTGTGGAGATTTGAGTTGCTGGTGAAAAAACTAGCACCCCCCAATATATTGGGAAAGTAAGAGAGAAGCACACATTTTTTACTGAGATACCACGTTCCATGGAAATAGCACAGCCTGAACATGTAGATTTCAGGCTTGAGGTCGGAGGTTTAGGAAGGGGAGGTTGCTTTTTTTTAACTATAGTGACATTTTTCAAAAGCATTTTTTAACTCTCAGCTACCACTATCGAATCCAGCTCCAGAAAAGACAAATCAAACTATAAAAACAAAACTCCCAGGGGCCTCCTCTGGCTTCTGTTAATTGTCTGCGGGAGATTTGATTTCAATAGCACAACTGAGTCTGGGTTTGGTTTCCAGCTGCTTGCTCAACGCCGGCTTTCCTTGGAGCTCCTCCCCGGCGAGCAGGGCACGGCAGCGTGCCAGCAAGCGAGCCCCCGGGGCTGCGGTACTGGCGAGCATCGCTACTGCAGCCCCTGGGGGATCAGACCTCCAGACAGGTTTGCGGGGGGCTCCACGATAGATATCGAGCAGTTCCTCGGTAACAACCTGCGCGCAAGGAGGCGGGAGTCCCTCTGGAGACGGGCCCTTAAGAGCCCCTCCTGCCCGCCACAAGACTAGCATCTTTAGCCTGGAGAGATGGAGATTAGAGGATTAGTTTTTCTATCTTCTGAGTACGATTCTACAGCATTAAGGCTATTTCTGCACTTCAGTTCAGTCTATTGGTTTACCCTTAATGGCAGACATCTATAATTTACCCAGCTAAACCCCATGGCCTCTCAGCTCTATCGTTGCATCACCGTTGTCTTGAACAGGT